AAAAAAGGCTTCGTATTTAATTGGTATTTGAAAAACTGTATTTTTATTCGATAACAATTTATTTTTATTTGATATCCAAATTGGCCCCCAAGGTTTGCTAGATATGAAAAGTTGGGATCCGCTTTAGAATTGTTACGTAATTATTACATGGGTATTTGATAAAAAAAGGGAGAATTTTGAGTTTTTTGGTTTCCCATCAAAAAATTAGATGGTCTTCATTTGCTTATGACACTTTTTGTTGGCTAATAATGCGTATCAGTTCTTAATATTTACAAAAAATATTATTATATTTTTTATATGAGTAATGATCCTATAGGACCCTCATCCACCCATGTGTAAGGATCACCATTAAAATTGGTACGAATCTCTAAAAATGTTATCACATAGGTATGGGACTTGACTTTTCTATAAATCCGTGCCAAATTTAATGGTGATCATTTGGAGTCCTACATATATGAGTGGGGGCCTATAGGATCATTTACCTTTTTATATTTATAAAAGAGCTCATATCTATCTATATATATACTAGATTATTAGGCTACAGTTCAGGGGCAGACACACACACAAGAATAAAAAAGGCTCCTATATTTAGAGATAAGATAGGGCATATCCTATTAATAGAGCAGCTTTAGGGAAGACCTCGCAAAGTAAACAAACCTTAAAAGAGAGGCATTCAAGATTTTATGCATTTGAGATTCATTTAAATATATTGTTTTTAATACTTTCATCATATTTAAACACTTTGTGATCTTCCTCCTCAGTACTTTATGTAAATGAGGCCAACTATGATACTTTTTGTCCCAATTTTAAGTTGTAGAAGTAATAAATGAAATGTTAGTTATGCCTAACATTAAGGAGTTCAAAAAGTATTATTGATTTATTTTATTATTTGAATTTTATCGTCATTCTCATATCTTAATTACATTTATACGTGCACCACATGAAAACCCACTAGTACTTTCTATTTTACACTCAACTCCCACCTTTTAGCAATTTTGTCTACTTCCAATTTGTCCTCAGTTTGGATGGATTTCTTTTTTGCTAGAATGAAATGCTAATTTCGACATAGATATCCTACTTGGTCTTTCACTAAAGTGGTTGTGTTGTGACAATGGATGTCTGATAGTGTGTCCCTTCCCTTTTTGTTAAGGGGTAGAGGGCTTCAAACTCTTAGTGTTTTCAATCGCCTTTATTTATTTATTTTTGTTAAAAATGAGAGACAAATTTGGACATTGGGTGTCTGAAATCATCTCCTTTGAAAATAAATTGGCTTCACACATTGGAAAATTGAACAAACCCATGTAAGATATAAAATAGTTTTACCAACTCTTGCAAGAGCATATGTCCATTTACTTCCTAAGGTAAAGCCCAATCCAAATGCATTTTAAGAAACCCAAATTGATGACTTGTTGCCTCTTTGATACATGTAGACACCCTCTCGAAATTATAGCTAAGGGAACTCCTAAAAACCTCGATTTTGAGCTCGAAAGACCACAAAAACCCTAGTATACCATATACAAACTAGACCCAATACAAATATATTAAAACTAAAGAAAACCTATCTCAACTTGAAGTAGAGCCAAAAAGCTTTCCAATAGTCAAATAATCGTCTGAATTTGACCTACAGAAAAAAAAAAATATAACAAATGACCACAGGCCGGGCTATGATGCAGCCCGATAGAGCCAAACGCTGCTTGATGACACACTAAACATGTTTTATTTAATTAAATAAGGCTAAAACTTCAAGATAAATTCAAAAAAATCCAAAAAACATTCCTAAAAAATATGAAAAATTCACCTAAGTGATATGAATACCCCTCCATAACCCAAAGAAAAAAAAAGAGATCAAGAAATCCCTTAGAAAATCAGAAAATTAGAAAAATAATCAAAACAAAAAACAAAAGAAACCTGTTAGAAATTAAAAAAATAATCCAAATTTACCAAAAAAATAGGAAAAACCTTTAGAAAATTCCTGAAAAAATAGAAAAAATAAGAAAAATTCACAGGAAATCCCGTAATTCATATTCAACCTTTGGATATCCCAAAACCCATAGAAAACTAAAGAATTTTTTCTCCAATCCCAAAAAATCTAAAAAAAAACTAGGTAGACCCTACCTAAAATTCACAGCTATTTTCTTGCCTTATGAATCATAGATCCAGGTAAGAAACTTAGATTTACTAATTACAACAAGCAAATACATCAAAAAAAGGTGACGGTGGCGCAAATCAGAATAGTGGCCTGATCCAAGCCCGAAACTCCGGGTTTCGGGTCCCTGAAGTTAAGTATTTATTTATTTGCTTAATTTAGTTTGTTTTTTCTTCATTTAATTATTCGTTTTATTTTATTTTTTCTGAAAATTTATTATTATTAAATTTAATTAAAGGGAGAAGCATTATTTTAGTCAAAATACTGATTTGGAGCTGACGCTACCAATGGACCCGGAAAACAACCAGATTTGTATAGATCTAAGATTTTTCTGAGCCCATAATTCGAGCGATCCTACTTTCTCTACATTTTTAAAAAATAACTTAATTTTTGCTAAGATTTGAGCATATCTCATTGCATAGATCGGCATAGATCGGAGCGTAAACAACGTAACAACAAACCTTACAAGTAAAAAGTAAATAAAAAATATATATATTAATATGCACTTTGTGCCAAAGAACACCCTAACATTGAACGAGACTATGCAATTCTTTGAGGGTGAGATCCAAGTGCTAAATAACTCAATATCTAGCCCCTTTTTATTTGAAGATATTCCTCTAGTCATGCTAAGTGGTCAAAAAAATTGAGATTGGAAAAACCCTCCTACGCAACTCTTTTGCCCGAGGGAAGAAACTTTGCTACATGCTTTGTGTGGGGTGTATAGTATTTTGATTGAAGATAAAACCTTGTTTATACCTTCAAAAATACCTTAGGGAAGAGATATTAAAGAGGGATATCTCCAATCCACTGGTCTCGGTGATGGAGGCTAGTGGAAGTGTTTATACTAACAATGTTTGGTTTATTCATTGTAGGTATAGACGAGTAACATATAATTTTATTTCAGAATATTAAGCATTGATGAATTTGCTAAACAATGTATTTTTAACACCCAATCAGCAGGATGAAGTAATATGGGATCTTACAAATTCAGGAGGGGTCACGGTCAAATCAACACATGCATTGCTCTATTTTGATCAAATCCGACTACTTGATGGACAATTAAGTAGAATAAAGAAATGTCATGTTCCTTTAAAAGTTCAGCTCTTTTTGTGGATTATTTGTCAAGACAAATTAGCTACAGTGGATAACCTTAGGAAGAGAGGATGTAATATCATTAATGCTTGCATTTTATGCAAAAGCAGTGATGAAACAACTCAACATTTATTCTTATGATGCCCTTTCATTGTTAGCATCTGGACTTGGGCTCGTCAAAAGTTTAAACTTACACCTCCCTCTTTTAGAAAATTATAGATCCCTTATGATACAATGGATGACCCCAGGTATCCCAAAAGTGGGTACAATTTTATGGAGATCTCTTTGGGTCAGTGTGCTATGGGCGGTATGGAAGGAGAGGATCAGAAGAGTGTTTGATGGGATTGCCACATGGCTTCCTATTATTAAATTAAACATTATGGCCACAGCAGCGGACTGATTTATGACACAAAGATAGTGGCTCCACTCGTAAGAGCATGGTCAATCATTTGGCAGTAGCAACCTTGGGTTGTGTTGAAACCAGCCGTATGCATGCTATTTGGCTTCCACCTCCATTAAATTCAATCAAATTGAATTTTGATGGTAGTAATTTTGGTAATCCCACACCTGCAAGTTTTGGGGGGATAAATAGAAACAGCTTGGGCCATATTCTATGTACATTTTTAGGTTCATGTAGTCATTCTATGGCCATTGAGGCTGAAGCTTGGGGGCTATTAGAAGGCATCAAATTGTTGCCTAGATGGGGGGTACAAAAATTATTGAAGGAAACTCAACAAATGTAATAGGTCGGAGTAATGGAAAAATCCCATGGAGATTAATTTATTTATTTTATGAAATTAAGGATATTCTCTTGTCACAACGGGTTGAGATCCATCATTGCTATAAGGAGGCCAATGAGGAAGCAGATTGCCTACCCAAGAGTGGTGTTAACCTTGTTTCTTTGATTGTCAATTTTTTCCAATTCTCTATTATTCTCTTTTATTCATTGTAATATATTTGAAGATGAATGAAAAGCTTTTGTGAATGTTCACAAAAATAAAAGAAAAAATAAGATAAAACCTTGTTTATACAAGTGTGTCAAAACATTAATGCCTGATATTCCCACATGTTTCTAACTAGGAGTTGGGACCCAAAAAAGAGGGGGTAGATCTTGACATTGAGAGTCCAAACCTGCCTCCTACTAAAAAAAAGACCCATGGTTCGCATATTGGGTATTCCTTAAGTAACCAGACTCGAAAATTCAATGTGCGAATTGAAAACAACTTTTTAGGCCCCTGCCCATTTTTTCAAATAATATAAGAGTTAATTTTTTGAAGGTGTTAGTGAGGTGATGTCAGTGGGAATGAAAACAAAAACGTGGTGACTAGGGTGTGGGGGTGCTACCACTACGACCCCACCCCGTTTCCCCTGAACATTCGATATTCAAGCCTATTTCACTAAAAAGACCCCAAATTGAGGAAAAGGAGAATACAGTGTAAAATAAAAATATTTAAAATTTAAAATTTAATTCTTAAATATATAATTAAGTTTTAATTTCAGAAAAAACAAAAGAATTTTTTATACTTGAGTATAAAATAAAAAGTATTTAAAATTAATATTTAAATATGTAAATTAAATTTTAATCCCAAAAAAAATCTCAGGGATATTGTTATGTTACCACGCGAGCATACTATCTTTAGGCAATGTAGAGCACGATTAACGATTTTACCCTAATAATGAACCTGCTGACCTGGAGACCGGAATAGTCGGTCACCGGGTACACCCCTACAAGAATAACCTCGACTTTATAAACCCTATTTTGAAGTGGCTTTTGTAAGGGACTGCTCGAAAACCTAAGGCTTAAAGCCCGTAGTTTATTTGCGTGCAAGCCTTCGAGGTATCCTTTTCCATTTTGCAAACCCTAATTGCAGTGCGTTTTTTTTTTTTTTTTTTTTTTATCTTCATTTTTATGGGAAATTGGTTTTGAGTTACAATTAGCAACAAGGAGCCTAGGGTTTCATCGTTTATTCAGAGAACCAATTGTTCGCAGTAGTTCATAATCTGGCGTGGATTATTTTATTTTGAGCTTTAGATTTTGTCTTTGTTGTTATTGGTATCTATATTGACTCATTTTGTATTTGTAGTAATCTAAGGTTTGAGGTCTATTTGTGCAAGGCCCTAATTCTTATCCATTAAAATAACTTTTTTTCAGTTGCCTTCTACAATGGGAAACTTTAGGGTTTTGGTAAATTAGGGTTTTCGATGCAGTTTGGTTGCTTGTCTGTGATTTTATTTATCATCTGTTATTGCTCAGGCATTCAGAGCCTTTATCTATCAGAGTTGCTGTTCATCCAGTGTTTTGATCTCGTCTTATTTATTTATCTTTTAAGCTGGTTAACTCTGTTGAATAAAAATGATAGATTACATTAGGTCAGGTTGTGGTAAGAAAGGCATCCAAGAAACTGGGTGCTCAGACTACTGGGGGAGAAGAATTATAGAAAACTAATTCTAGAAAGGAAATTATATGAAAATGGAAAAGCTGCCAGTGAGGAAAGTGCCTGAAAAGAGGGGGGAGGCCAATAGGAAAGGGGGGTACAGAGAGGAGGAGAGAGCCAGAAAAGAAATAATTGGGCAGTAAGATCAGTTGCTAGACTCCCAGTGGCTGGAGTTGCCCTTTTAGCGATATAAGTGTATCTGAACATTGAGAAATCGCGAAGCCCAGATTGTGTATTGTGTTGGACGAGCTCCCTTGGTCGAATAGGAAGGGGATGTGCTGTTGAGAGCCTTACAAGAAGACCTCTGTTTGCGGTTTGCTGCAGAAGAAAAGGGAAGGAGAGGGGAAATAGAGGGGGAGGGAGGTGGGTCGACAAGCAAATGGAAGAAGAGGGGAGGAGAGAGAGGGGGGTTGCGAGGGCAAAGGAAGGTCTTAAACTAGGGAAAGGAGATACCTCATGTAGGGGTAGAGCTTTAGAGAGAGTAAGAGAAGGGGGTGGGGGTGGGGCCAGAGAGTGCGAAGCAAGAGAACATGGGGAGGAGTGTATCAGAGAGGTGACAGGTAATGAGAGAGAGAGAGAGAGAGAGAGAGAGAGAGAGAGAGAGAGATAAAGTAGAAGGGAAGAGAGAGAAGTCCTTACTATTTCTTGCTATAGTAATTAAAATATATTATTTCTCTTTCTTCTTTTTTTTCCATCTTTCTTTTTCCTCTTTGTTTTTTCCTTTTCTCTTCTTTTTTTGTTTATTTCCTTTATTTTTTTTTTAAAAAATTCTTTTCCTTTTTTTTTCCTTATTTTCTTTCTTTCATTTTTTTTGGGGGGCTGCCTAAGACAGGGTAGTGGGAGAAGAGATAGAGGAAGCAGTGAGGGAGAGAGATAGAGGGAGGGGAGAAGGTATGTAGAAGGGAGAGCTATAGTTGTGGGCCATACCTGTAAGCTGTTGGGATCAAGGAGGATGACTTGACTGGTGTTGCGCACTCTTCATTTGCAAGACCAGAAGCTTTGTTCTCACTAAAGAGACATGAAAAGGTTACCAGTGGCAGCGGACAAGAACTCCAGAGTGGGAAAAATGCATCGGCCTCCTCCCTTAGCAAGACCGTCGGCCACTAAGTTTACTCCTCTATGGATGTGGGTAAAAGTCAGTGTCAGAAGGCCGCTGCAAATAAGGGTGATGAGATAAAAAATAGCCACCAATCTCCAAGGGGGTTTTGAATTTTAGCTTCATGTCCTGGGGCCAAGGTCGGAAGTATGTTGAGATCCCTATTCTCATTATGCAAAATAGTACTATTTTGGTTTCCTTTAACAATTGGGAAGTTAGGGATTGGGATTAATTGACGTACTTACCTGTGCTCATTCTTGCTTTTTGTTCACTATCTATTCACAGAACAAGAGTTTGGGGTTTTTCCTATTTAGAGCATTAATTTCTATCCTGTAGCGTATTATTGATTGGTATCCTTTCTGCTTGTCTGTTTTGTCTTTCACTTTCGATTCGTGGAATATCAAAGGCCTTTTCTTTTTATTGTTTAAGGGCTATTCCGATTCCTCATAACATTTCTTTTTGCAATACACATTGAGAACTTAGGGTTTGGTTTCCTGTCGATCAAGTCATGGCTCATCCTTGTTCTCCATCATACTCTTCTTCTACATTTTCATTTACATTATATGTTTGAGAATTTAGGGTTTGTTGTCAAGTTAGTCTCATGTCCGGGATCATCATTTCATTTTAATATCTGTCAGTGGAAATAAGAGCTTTGGGTTTTCATTTTCGTGTTCAAAACCCTAGATTCTATGGTAGCTGTTCATCAATTGTTTATATTTTTCTTTCTTTGCTTTTCAAGTATTTGGCCTTTTTTGAAATTATATATATTTATACATATTGTACATTGCATTGTATTATATTATGCGATCTATTATATGGTTTAGCGTAAAAAAAGGGCCGTAACCCGGTGCTAGTACTGCCTAAGCAGGGTCCCTGGAGGGGTGGGCTGGAAACGGTCCTAACCTTTGGCTTATGCACAAATTGGCCGCTCTCAGAACTCGAACTCGTGCTTTTACGCTGGCTACTTGAGCCTTTTACCGTCACAGCAAGTGACGGCCCCTTATATGGTTTAGTGTACATTACATAGTAAATTACGTATGCTCTTCTATAAAGTTTTATTATGCAATTACTATTCACACAGACCATGTCCAACCCCATTTTTCAGAATCTTTATTGGTAGTAGTCGTAAAATTGTTTCATTTTCTTTTGATTTTGGGGAGTTAGGATCCACGGTCCAGTTTAGCCACTCATTTCCTCATTCTCTTTTTGATGTTATCAATCGAAACAAAGCTTTGATGGACATTCATCTATGGTTATTTTTTGTCTCTTTTCTAGTTTTCTTATCACCAATATGTATGGAACAGCTGTTATTTTCTTGGTTTCTCAGGGCTTGAGGCCTTGAATATCATTCTGCATTGCCATTTTCTGCTTTCTAGTTTTCTCCATCACTTTTTTTTTTTTGAAAGAGTCAACTGTTAAAAATGAATATTGTAACATTGGTATGTATTTACAAAGAACTGATGTTAGTAGTGTCTTCTTTTTTTAGTTTTCTCCATCACTGTTGTGAGCAGGATATCTATTCTTTTATTGGGGCTTTAGGAATTGAGAATTTGAGTTTCATGTGCAGTAAAGGTAAAGCAACATGTCAGGAAGAAACCGTGGACCTCGCCATATGGTGGAGGATGGCAGGCGAGGCTATCGGCCTGGGCCGCCTGGTATACACGAAGGCCCATTCATTCGTGGACCTGGACCTGTTCCGCGCCCCATTATATTGGAGGAGGAGCTTGAGATTCAACATGAGGAGATTCGACGGCTTGTAGGTGATAATCGGAGGCTCGCCGAAGATCGAATGGTCCTCCAACAAGAGCTCGGCCTTGCAAAGGAGGAATTGCATCGCTTGAATATGGTTATATCTGATATTCGTGCTGAAAAAGATGCGCAGGTGAGGGACATGATTGAGAAGGGATTAAAGCTCGAGGCTGAGTTGAGGGCTCTTGAGCCTATGAAAGCAGAAGCCACGCAATTGCGGTCGGATGCTGTGAAACTGAATGCAATGAGGCAGGAATTGACAGCTCAAATTCAGGCGATGACCCAGGATTTGGCGAGGGCACAGGCTGACAACCAGCAGATTCCTATGCTGAGGTCGGAGATTGATGGTTTGCGCCAAGAACTTGTCAGGGCCAGGTAATATCTGCTTTCTTGCTTATATGCTATAAGTCTTACTGAGTTTTGTGTTTTGTGTGTGTGTGTGTGAGGGAGGGGGGAGGGGGGGAGGTGGAGGGAGGGTGGGAGGGACGGTTAAAACTGAAATAAAGTGAAAAGTTGTGGTATAATTGATCGATGTGTAAATATGACAAATAATATAGACTGGTAAATTTGTTTTTTCTCAAAATCACAAGTGAACAGATTATTGGAATAAAAATTGATATATCATGTTTTCCTTTCAAATGAACTTGCTTTTTTCTTTTACAGGACGGCTTTTGAGTACGAGAAGAAAGCAAATGCTGAGCAGATGGAGCAGAGGCAAGCAATGGAGAAAAACCTGATTTCTATGGCTCGTGAAGTTGAGAAGCTGAGGGCAGAGCTCGTTGGTTTGGAACAAAGAGGTTTGGGATCTTGTTATTTTGCCATGCTTTTAATTTATTTTTTTGGATCCTTTTCTTAATAATAGTTTGTGCAGTGCATGCGTGCCCTTGTTTCATGAAAAAAGTGCATGTACTTGTCATTTGTCACCCTTTACATTTAAAATAAGAATTGACCTATATTTGATTTATTTTTTGCTGTGCTGCTTTCGGTTATGGAGCACACCTATGCTCTGACAAAGAGTTATAGTTTCCTCATTCTGTTAGACTGTTTACTAGGCTTTATGTCTTCATCCTTTACTAATCATATACATGAATGTATAACCTGCTATTTCAAATTGAGGTTTATGCAACAACAGTGGAAGTCTGGAATTCCATGTTATCCAATAAAATCTAGTAACTAGTGACCGATAGTTCAGTTTTTTGGAACTCCTATTTTGTTGCGCATATTGTTTTTTTTTTGTTTATATATTGTTCAAAAGGTTCTGATCCAGTCAGAACTCAATTTATGTTTTCTTTTTCTTTCTTTGAAATAAGTTCTGTATTGTGCAGATGGTGGAATTGTTATTTCATTCATAAGATTGTTACTCTTTTCTGCAGGTGGACACTATGGACTAAAACTTGGAAGTCCTGAAATCGGGGTTGGTGGTCCCTATGGGGATGGATATGGACACCACATGGTGTGTTTTTACCCCCTGGTTGGATGCTTGTCTATCTTCTACCTTTCTATGTCTATCTTATACCTTTCTATTACTTCTTTTCTATTTTTCATTATGCCATTTGATGTAGTATAATGAACATATTGTTTTTTGTGTATTTTAAATTGCCAGGGGGGTGGTGAAAAGGGTCCTATGTATGGAGTTGGATCTGGTGCTTGGGGATCATATGACAAATCTCGTATCTCACGTCGTTAGATTTTCAACGGAGTTATGATCAGAAGTGGAAAGAAGCATGAACTGTGATACTTGAACTGCTTGGCTCTTCAATGTTCAAGGGTTAGGAATATTGGATTTTCCTTAGGATTTAGTTTTGGATATACCTCTTTTGACATGTGACTTTATAATCTTTTGCATTTTATAATATAGACTCTTTTATTTAGTCAGTATTCTCAAACCCGATAATTTTTGACTTCTAAGTATTTCAATGGTATATGGAGGGGGTTATGAGCTCTTGTTCTGGCTTTTGGGCTATGAATGAGAATGATTGATGGTCTACTAAGGCAAAAGCAGCATCATAATGGATGTCATATATTGACAGTGGAGTGATTTTTTATAGTTTATTTGCTCTCTTGATCTTTCTTCTCTTCTTATCCAGCCTTTGTTGTGTTTTTATTGATTTTAAGCTTCTGAAGTTGAGTTTCTTTTCCCATAGTAAATAGAGGTTGAAGTCTGATGATTATGCTTTTATCAGTGACCCATGAGAGTATAACCTTCTGATTTTCCCTGGGATGTGGCAGAGATACGGAAATAATCTTGTGAAGGCACATTTCTATGTGGCTAATTGCATTATGAGCTGGACACTTACTTCTGTTTTATTTGCCAAAAAATTTGATGGCTTGCATTTTAAATTGATGTGTTTTTATGCTCGACCATATTCCATTTGAGTTGTATGCTTGCCACTATGAAATGCCCAAAATCATTATATGGAGTGATCTGGAGATAAGCAAAGGATGTTGAAAGTGATGAGATTGATCGTAAGTGTTCCTCTTGTTTCCAAACTCAATCAATGCGCTGACTTCTGGAGCTTGCTAGTGATTGTTGATGTATCAAGCTTAGTCTTAAAACCTCAGGAAAATACTATCTATTCGGAGCAATGTGTGGGCGGATTCTTTTTGTTTTTTTATGCATTCAAAAGGCCCAGCAAGACTAAAACATTCAAGGACCTTTTCTTTGGACACAGTTATATTGACTGTAAGCGATAGTAGGTTGGCGTTTGAAGTAATTTTGCCACTATTTTTAGCCACTACTTTTAGGCCTTGCCATGCTATATTATTGTGGTAGTAATTGATGTATACTTTGTGAGTGAAGTGAGGGATGATGCAGGGGTTGCATATCGTTTAAATGGTTTACGAGGCAGCTTATTATCATGATGGGATTTGATCTAGTTGACATCATTCGAAAGCTCCCTCTGAGTTCTCCTGTGCATATTCTCTTTGTTGAATAGGGGATTTCTACATGTCTTACCAACTTGTTGGACACTGTCTGTGTCGAAGAGGGGATTTCTATGTGTCTTACCAACACTTCAAGGAGTGATGGTGGGTTTCAACTTGGAGTTGCCTTCTTGAAACTCCAGTCGCATGACTATTTGAATTTGGGGCTTTTGTTTCGCATGAGAGCAGTACTTATTATTTGGATATGAGTGTGGATTTATTTGTCATTGGTAGTGTTTTTAGTCGTGATTGGGACTTCTGGTTGATGAAAATCAACAGCTCCAAAAAAAATGTTCAGGCTTGACATATTTTAATGTTAATGTTCGATATGTAATCATTTTCCACCTTGTATGTCTTTGTTGGTTTTCTTTTGGCGATTTGTGTATTTGAATGGCCTCTGAGAGGTCAAGTTACAGTTGGTGGAGCAGTTTTTGTCTTTTTCCCTGTTAGGGGCCATCTTGACCTTACCTGTATAAATTATTTAGCAATTTGTATGAATGGTCAGAAAAATCAATGGTTTGGATGGTCCTTAAAGGAAATGAAGATTTATCTCTGCAATTAGTGGTCACTGGAAGTTTGAAAGATTGCATATTTCCAATATTTCGTGTGACATGGTATATTACTAAATGGTTGTTCCAGTGGGATGTATTGACGGTGCCCCACAGAGATGAGAAGGATTTCTTTGCTTCAATTGGGACTAAGTGGATATGCAACTAATCATTATGTGATCGAGTTAAAGCATGGTCTTATGAGTCAGTAAGCATGCCTTGCATTCAATAATTTCTTTTCTGTGGCTGATAGTTGAGTTGATAAATGCTACTTGCTGGGTGGAGGATGTGTGAGTGGATTTCTTGTGGCTGTGGATGAGTGGCAATCTGTTTGGTCAGGAGAGTCATAAACTGATACATGCAAACCTTATATCATCAGATTGGATGCTGGGAACAGCCCTCTTCCTGTTCCTTGGACATCCTAATGCCATTGAAAGTTCATTACCTCTCTTAGGTAGGATGATTGGATGGGTCATCTACAAGTGAGATATGTGATAAAGTTGCAACGCAGTTTGTCGTATCACAAAGCTTCATTAATTATATGTTGAGAATTGTCTACATGGGTCTTCTCTATATATTTAGTTATTCCTTTAATAGTGTTAATCAGGCTTATTTTCACTTTGAATTTGTATTTTAATTCACATTTCCTGTAGTTCTCTTTTTGTGGTTCAGTTCAGTGCTTTCTTTGGCCCTGCTGCCTACATGGAAAAATGCCTCGCTTCTGCATGAAGCGAGAAGTACGTGGTCTGCTTGAAGAGATGGGCAGGGGGCAATACATGGAGAAGTGGCTGCCTGGTGGCATGAACTATATAGGCAAGTATGCTCTAATTGCTGTTATGTTTGCTTTCTAGCTAGATTTAGAATTTGATGTGGCTATGGTGTGCCTTCGTGTTACTTATTTAGGTTTAGCCTTTACAGTCATGCTGAATGAGGCATTAAAAAGTTCATTAGTTTTGTTTTTATGTGCTTATGCTACGGATTTGGGGATACGCATTGCTATGCCGATCTATCAATATCCTCCAGGTTAAGTCCTTTCTAGAGGAGAATCACTTCATGTTTGTTATTTTCGATCATGCTTCCTGCTTCAATGAATGCTGCTATTACTATAGTGAATGTTATGACAAAGTGGGACATAACAGATTATTTCTACTAGTAGCACAAAAATCCTTTGCAGTGTTGATTGCTTCTGCCCAAAAGATGTGACCTCATTCACAACAGTATGACCACTATACCTGGGAAGATTAAGATGATGGAATGAAACAACGGATACTGTTTCATTATTTTTATATCAGATCAGCGTGGCATATGAGCATGAAAATAGGTGTCTCGAATTATTTGGTTTCTCAAATGGGAAATTACAGGATGCTCAGCTCTTGATTTTCAGTGAGATGGAATTGATCTGGTGAAGGTTGATCTCTTATAACCCTTCTCAGAGCCTGATCCTTTATTTCCAAACCTTCTTGGACGATTGAGCAAATACCCAACATGGACCATTTTGGGTTGGTTTCTTGTTTCCTTTCTAAGGTGGGGATATTTACATCAAGGGGTATTTTTCTTGGAGTACTAGTTGCTGACCTCCAATTTTGGAGTTCTACTATGGTACAGAGACCACTTAAACATTGTTCTACTGGATGAGAGATCATTGAAATGGTATTTTAATGGCTATGCATGTAGAATATGTTCGCAATTGCAGAATTCAGTTAACCTTCAAAAAACAACTTTTTAGACTTCAAGTTGGGGTGTCAGTTGCTTTCACTTATCAAGAGTTCCAGGTTTATATCTTGCATCCTGAAGGCAAAATTCAAGAGTTTAATATCAGAACTGGAAACCGGCCATGATTATTTATCTTGGCCTTTGTACGTGATTGCCGAGTCCTACTGGGTGAGAGATAATTGAAATGGTATTTAGTGGCTATGCTCATAGAAAATGCTAGCAATTTCGGACTTCAGTTGACCTTCAAAAAACATTTTTTTAAACTTCAAGTTGGGGTCAGTTGCTTTCACTTATCAAGAGTTCCAGGGTTATATCTTGCATCCTGAAGGCAAAATTCAAGAGTTTAATATCAGAACACAGGAAACCGGCCATGATTGTGTATCTTGGCATTTGTACCTGATTGCCGAGTCCTATGCTTGTTATTGAGATTAGTTGGTAAACGTGATACTTGAATTGGAGGTGTCATGTCTCGCTGACTGTTGATTTATTTGGGACTGTTTAATACCACTGCTTATTTGAAATGTGCATCATTTTGTATGAGAAGGGATTTACTTTTTTACGCTAGGTTTTTGTTCAAGAGCATTCTGAAAATAAATGGATTTTGAGATGCTGGGATACTTACGGATCTGTAACTCTATTATCTTTTGATCAAATGAACAAAATTAAGAAGAGCATTTTGAAGTGATCAATAAGGAAATCAGATGTTATCTGGAATGTCTTATGAAACCATAGCTCGACCTAAGCATGGACACGAGTTAAGAGACAAATTAATGATCTAGTGCTTTTGAACTAGGACTTTCGAGAGGAATTGTAGAGTTGCAAGAACTCAGAGATGTCCCCTTGGAATTCTTGAGCAAGTTCTTTTTTATTCCAGATTGAATTTTTTTCTCATAGAGCATGACTTATTGCATGGTCAAGTTCAACAGAATCTGAACAATGTTGTTGCTATAATGTATCTATTTGGAGGGATTAGATTTTTTATCTTTAAAGTTGACTATTGTTCCAAGCAAAGGGAAAAAAAGAGAAAAAAGACCTGAGGTGACTATTGTTATTTGCGGTTACAAGGATCGGTGTTAAGTTTGGATGTGGTTCTTCAACGTGCGGAACAAAATAATGCGACCATATTTTGGTAGTTGGTAGTTGTTACATTTAAAAAGTATGCTGGCCGGTCGCTGTCTTTTCTGTTTTCAGTTTTTTATATACGTTTCCTTATAATTTCTTACTATGTTAAGAAATTTTGAATTATAAAAAAGAAGTTACAGAAATTTTGGGTCATTAGAACTTTGTTGAAGATATTATATGATGTTTATAGGTGTCAGCTTTCTACTTTTATGTTATGTGGTTGGAGTAATGTTTCAATATCCTTGTCTTGTGAACTATTGTGACCACTTTTTAAATTATGCTGTATCTGTGGTTGTTACTTCAGAAAGATATGTAACAAACAATATGCAATGCAAAACATACCACAAACTAGTATTGAAAATCATGCTCTCTTATTTTTCATGTATGTCCTTGTACTTGCGCTACTTTTATGTTTGAAGCAATATTGTTAAGACATCAAATGTCCACATCTCATGATGCACTCCAGTAACCCATCTACCAACACCAATTAAAAGGGAGTAATGAAGTAGTGAACCATTAAATTGGCAGGCAATTGTTCAGAACATGTGTACAACTCACTGGACTTAAAAAACCTTAAATATTTTCATTTTTTTAAATCTACAACAAATGAAACAAACAATGAATCAAATGAACTTGTTCTCTTTTGTTTTTTTGGGGGGGGGACTGAAAACTTCATATTGTAATCGAGATTTGTGGCGAATTCGATGGCCATGCTGGTCCTTTGTGTGGGGTGGGGTTTATTCGAACGGATTGGAATGGCCACTGGTTCACAGGTTCCCTGTCTGGACTGACGAATCTAGTTCGGTTTGAACAACATTTGTTAGAAGTAATACATTTTTGTAAAAACTCTCTGCAACTTCTGTTTGTTTCCTTCCATATTTTTTAAGATAAGTGGTTTGAATTGTGTGTCTGCAGGTTCTAGAGCATGAGCATATGCATGCATGTGTTTTTTTGTTTTTATTTATTTTTTATAATTGAGAATTAATAGATAGAGTATCCACAAGCTACTCAATGAGTACTTGTACAGAGGAAGAGATGGTGACATGAGATTAGGGAAAAGAGAGAAAAGAGAAACAAAATATGATGATAAAAGGGAAAATGGCAATAAGGCTCTAAAGTTTCCTCAATATTTAAGCAGTCAGTCCTACAGCTTCCATGGTGCTGCATGCATCTGCCAACCCATTTACCACTAAATGTGGTGAAATGGAAATTCAATTAAGCCATATACTAGGTCATTTTTTTTTGTTGAACATTGACCTCCCTCAATCAGAAGGGGATGTCTAGTACTGAACCAGAGCCCAAGGAGCCAGTTAAGCCATTTGAGTAGATAATTTCTTCCATGATGTGCGCTAAGTACCAAAGGAAGGGGACTCTTCTGAGGTCCAACATTTGAAATCAATGAGTTGTCCTCAACAGGAAGTGGTTTATAGAAGGAAGCTTCATAGAGCTCTAACCTAGTAAAATTGGGCAGTCACCCGAGCCATCCCTAATGAATGAGTTTCAAACCTGCCAATATGCCCCTATGAAGAATTCAAACCTGCTCTTATGATATCTAATAAATGAGAATGTGTACAAATTTGTCAATAAACTATGGAAATGCTTATTTGTAGTTCACAAAAGGAGGAAGTAAAAAACATGCCAACTTCTAGATTTTCTTTGGAGTAAAGGGAGCTCTTGAATTGGTTGGCAGCTACACTGCCTAGGATTGGTTTTTTATCAATTTAAAAAAAAATTCTTGGCTCTGGGCTGGGCCTGGCCCAAGCTTGAATCAACCTGATATGAAGCCAAATCGTGATTGTCAATAAAAAAACACAAATAGAAGGGACTTTGCTGAGTCTGTAGGACTTGACCGAGACTCACCAACTACCGGAGCTGAGTCTAGAAGATTTAGGGCCCTAGGGTTGAGTGCTTAGTTTAGGACCTTGTGTTTGGTAGCTTTCCTGCTCCAATACACGAGCAACCTCTTGCTGATCTGTCGGCCGTTCCAATTAGCAAAATATCTCCCCCATTCCTGTTCCGCCGGTGCTTCGGGTAACTGTTGTCAACAGTAGCAGAAGGGAAATATGGTCACTGAAGGAGTATGGAGTGTTTAAGGCTAGCTTTTCATAGCTTGAACATGACCCTATGTGATGGTAGTGACTGGAAAATGGATTGGACTTGTAGGGGGTGATGGGATTAGAGCTTGATGTAACCAAGAGTTTGTCGATTTGGTTTCTGTGCTTGGCCTGCCAAGCATCTAGTACTGGGTTGCCAATTGATGATTGATCATGGAGAGGTGGGAAAAATGGTGATACGGATTATGATGCCATAAATTTAAAAGGAAGCAATAGATGAGGTAGGGATATTAGTTAGATTGTTTAGAAGAAGGGGTCATCTTGAAACGAAGATTGGATAAGAGACGGTGGAAGTGGAATGGTTCTCAGTTAAAGATTTCTTATTAGGGTCCTTCAAGGAAATTGGGAATTCCTAGTTCCTATGTTGCCTCGTGCTGTTTGTCCTGGTCTTTTCTTGTCCTGAAACTTTCAGATGGCTAGCCGATTCAAATAAGATATTTGTTATGAACTACCTTTAAAACTGTTGTATCCATACCCCAAACATAAAGTGTATGGGTGGGAATGTTGGATGAGGTGGTGTGCTGCCTTCTCATGTATCATCCCTGTGCCTGTAAAGCTCTAGAACTGTTTCTTAGTTGACATGGATATTGGTGTTTGTTGGATAAGTGCAGTATCTCTGCAGAGAGACTTTCTGCTTTGAAGTTGAAGCCAATTGTGATTTTCTAGGGCATCTAGTTGAAAAGAAACTATAGAACCTTAATGGTTCATATTTCTGGAAACTATAGAACCTCAAAATGTTATCCATTTACTGGTTCATTTATTTGGATCAGTCCACCTGGATTGGAGACGGTTTATGAGAAGTCTTATCTTAACCATGTAACCTCCCATGATGATATCTAGGGCATTATAGAAGATTCGTGACTGTTTATGAGAAGTTTACTTTAACGATGTAAGCTCTCATTATATTCTAGGGCAGTTAGGCTGTTCCACCCAAACGTGCTCGTAGGACATGTTTGGATACACCCCTGAATGTGTTTAAGTCTTTTTTTGTTTAATTTTTAATTTTTATTTTTAGAATCAAACTTGCCTATAGTCTGAACGTGCCCTTGGGGTGTGTTTGGTAGACCACTAAATTTGTTGAAGCCTATTTCTTTAGGAAAAAGTTTATTTAAGGTTGTTATATAAGGTGCACCTCAAAAATCTAGTAGAAAAGAGCGTTCGAAAGTTGGATAGTACAGTATAAAATGGGCACCTTATACAAACCTCACCCTTTTTTTTAAATACATTAGTCCGGTCACTGTTCTAGGACATGTTTGTCTGTCCATTTTTAATCCTGCTTATTTAAAAAATGCTGCAAATAAGCCCCTCAATCTGTAATCTAGCCCAAAAAAAAAAAAAAAAAAACTAATTTAAACCTTCATCATCATCATCATCATCCGAGTCTTATCCTAACTATTTGGGGTTGGCTAAATTTAAAAAAATAAAAAAATTACCTCTTTTACTTTCACAGGTATGTATTGCTAGTCAATATGCACCTATGCAGTCAACTCTTGCTTTCTTGAATAGTCAGTTATCACAACTACTAGAAAACTCTTCATCGAAAATAAACCTACATAACAAGCAGAAACAAATTCCTTTATATTTATAATTTATAGATGGATTGTTTGTATGATGTATTTAGTTGGAGAAACCCAACCTGGGAATTTCGCTGATATTGGCTGGTTTTCTAATTTTTTATTTGGTATTTCATGTGATCAGAAGATACTCTACTTGTTCTGCAATCTTGTTTAGTAATTGCATGAAGATATATCTTTATGTAGAGACTGATGTACTTGATGGTATTGCTTATGTATATTAGTGCCATGTCGATTTTATATTTACCTGGAAGCATGTTTGTGTCTGTGCACATGTGTGTGTGTGTGTGTGTGTGTGTGTGAGAGAGAGAGAGAGAGAGAGAGAGAGAGAGAGAGAGAGAGAGTACGTACTACTATATAGTATGTATTCGTCTCTATCGTGTAGTAGTTAGTAGTAGTAGTAGTAGTGTGGTAGGTAGGTTAGTAGTTACGTTACTACTTACTTACGTA